GGTATCGAAGTGCACATCAGCTTCTCCAGTGGGCTTCCCACTGGAGCTGTATTCCATGGTGATTCTAACAGGCTTCAGTGGAGCAAAAAACTAAACAACAAAGGTAGCCAAAAGGAACACAATGGAACTAGGCCTAATTTCTGTAAGTCTAGTAGCTCTTCATTTTTCTTTCAGACTTTGATTCATACACCTGATGTATGTTTTTAGGGAAAACCCTCTTTAAGCAATAAAGTAGTTACACATCTAACCATCTCTTTGGGCTTTTATGACTTCTCTCAGAACTCCAGGTTACATTTCAAGTATCTGTTCTCACAGAACCCAAAACTACAATTCTATACAAATGGCTCTCTCCAACATTTTTTAAAAACCAACAAGGACTACTTTTATTATTCCTCCCACACACATCCTTCCCTGTTTCTAAAAGAGTGTCCATCAAATATACTTCGTTACTTAACAATTTGTTTTTACCAGTTTTTAGTTAGACATGTGGCCGATAGTCAGATTCTTATCAGCACTACATAAACCGAGCTACCACATTGACTGGACATCATTCCAAACCAAACCAAAAGAACATAATGCTTTAATGAGAATGTACAACTTTCACATGGGGAAAGATGTGATTCCTATTAGGCTTTCTGAAATGATGATGACAACTGAGGCCCCACTATTAATTGAAAATTCTAGGTTTGGATCTACCTATATGCTCTCAAGTTCATGAAGTCAGTAAAGGCTTTATTTTCTTTTTCATTTTATACAGTTTTATAAAATAAAGATATATTTTAAATTCCTTTGCTCAAAAATTAGGGAATATTGTTGCAAGAAAGACACACAATAGTGTCTAATGAAAACTCTAGGAGTTCAGAAGTACTGGATTCTCATCTAGTAAACAACTGCTCTGTGACCAACTGCCTTTGAGTCTCAATTTCCCAAACTAAAAAATGAATGGGCAATTTATTCTAAAACCAAATTTTCTTACTCTGAATACTAAACCCATACGATATTATTTAGCATCTATAAAATCCTTATTCCCTTTTGACCTTAAAATGTAATAAAAAGCCACAGTTTTCAGCTATAGAAAATGAAGCAAGCCATTGCAACCAGGGAGATGCCATCTTACTCCCCAAAGACACTCCAGAAATACTATATTTTCTTTTCTATCTTCCCCAAATTAATATTATATTATACAAGTTCAATTTTAGGACTTTTGTTCAAACCTATTGAGACTGGATATCTTACTGCCACACACATTTATAATGTCTTGGGCATTGGCTTGGAAAGGCAATCCTCTCATGTGGACAAAATGCAATGAAGGCGTAGTTCCAAAATCAACAGCCTCTGGAAGCTTTTCTGACATCTCCTTAGGTAATTCTGAGAGGTAGAACAAAAAGCACTGTCAAGAACATAGAAGCTTCAAGGGTTATTAACAGATTATAATTAGGGATGACTTTAATGTCATATCTAATAGAGGATTTTGATCCTCTATTCTTCTTGAACCAGTAAGGAAGGGCTTTAAAAGCCAAAATTTCTGCTACTTAACAAATATCACCTAAGCACCCATAAACATTTAGTGCTTAAAATCATTACCAGATTAAGAATTCATCTCTTTATAACAACAGAGAGAAGGTAAAATTATGAATTA